AAATAGACGGGTTCATCAACGTGAACCACCGTCGCTACGTTCGGGCGGAGCGGCGGTGGTGCCGAGAGGAGGGCGCCTTCCTAATGTGGGAGGAAAAGCTGCACCTCCCTCGGCTGTGTACGCGTGTATGTGTACGTGTGAGCGAGTGAGGTGTGTTGCTCGCGTCGATGTTATAACGGGTTATGACAAAAAAAAAAGGAGACGGACTTGCTCGGCTCCTTTTTTTCTCGCGGTGTCGGCTAGCGCGGCTGATCAGCTGGTCGATCTAATTTTAGTACTGTCAATACGGCAGTCTACGGTTCGCGATGCGCGGTTTTCGCGTGTTCGCGTATTTGCGTGAAGACGGGCGATGACCATCGGCCGAGAACGCTCGGTAGAGGTGGAGAACTCTCCACCCCGGGCTATTGATGGTCGATCGCAGTGCGTGAGGCAAAGATGGTCGTTGCACGCTGCACCGAGACGGCTGCCGAGAACGCTCGGCAGAGGCAGAGCACACTCTGCCCCCTCGGTTCTTGCCGTTCGGTGCACTAGGATGCCTATTCGGATACCTGCCGAGAACGCTCGGCGAAATTGGAGCACTCTCCGGCCCGGTTTTCTTGGTGTCTCTTAGGCTGCTATAGGATCTCGGATTCGTTTCGGGAGCTTGGTCGGGATCGGAATCACCCGTTTCTTCGGAACGCGGCATTTTTATATTGATGAAAATGCCGCGTTCGTGGGCCCTCGGATTCGCTCGCGTTTTCTCGTTTCGCGATGTGCGGGACTAAGTCCCAGAAGTGGGAGTCCGCGGCTATCGATCTAATTCGTTTATGTTCGGCGGTGCTCGGCGTTGTGCGGCCGTTACTGCCGCTGGTACCTGCGAATTATGCTTTGATTCTTATCGGGCGCTATGCGCCCTCATCACTGCATTGCATAGCAATGCAGCGGCGTTCGACTGGGTGGTATGTGGAACGATGGGGGGATGCATCGTTACAACCTTTCTTCCATCCATCCATCCTTCTTTCGCGCGGTATCATATAACGCGCTGCGACAGCGTTATCGCGACAGCGTCTTCGCATGCGGTAGTATATACGCGCTCGAAAATTATTTAATTCAGTACAACAAAAAAATAAATGAAATATAATAAATTGAAATATTATTATTATTTATTGCATAAAATAAATATAAAAGAAAAAAATTTTAAGATGGAAGCCGCATAAGAAGAAGACATGACATAAGAGAAACGGTAAGTATATACGGTAAGTATAGGCGCGGCGGCGGCCCGCGCGATAAGGCGGCTCGGCTCCCCCTCCCCTCCCGTGACGTCATACCCCCCGCGCCACGGGTTCCCCTCCCCTCCCGTGACGTCATACCCATCCGCGCCTTGTACTTTCCCCCGCGCCCCGCACTCCCCTCGGAGCCCCATAGCGTTGAATTGGTGTACCACCTCTACTGGCCAGTACTCGACCCTGCGAATGGTGCTTGTGCTTATGCGCGTTCGTCGCCTGCAGCATGCTCTTGTACTCGCGCATATCTTCTTCCGTGTGTAGCGTATCGGTCTCTTGAAAATCAGCTCGTAAAGGCCGGGTGTACCGGCGTAACGTACGCCGCCGATAATTATGTTATCCGCGTCATCCACGTCGAAACGCTTATTGCCGAGCATTAGTCCGACCTTGTCCAAGTAAGCGCCATACACGCGATCCATACCGTTCTCATTGTGTCCTCGTAGGACAGGCCCGACTTACTTTAGACTCAGCGAGCCCATATGAATTCGTGATTTCTCTCGGTTCTCCGATGAATGATTCTGATCGGGTATCGCGAGCGTAGCGTACGTCGTTTCGGAAACGTCGTCGAATGACTCTCACGGTTGGGTTAGGTGCATGCGGTGTAGAGGTTATCTGCTCGAGCGTTTCATCGAATAAATGCGTGCGCGGAGTCACGAAGAAATCTCCTGCATCCTTTTCCTCCTCATCCTTCTTCTCCATCCTCTTGCGTTTAGGGGTAGCGTCAGGCGACTTTATCTTTATCGCGAGCACGATGGGACTACTGTTTGTCGCAACGGTTCAACGATAGGCTTGAAACGCCTGTCCAGCGCAATGTCCTCGTCGATTCTACCGGTCTTCAGAGCGCGATGTTTCTTGCGGATCGACTCGCTCGTCCTCTCGATCTCCCTCGCGATTTTTTCACGCTCTCGCACGTTAGACATGTTTGTCTCAGACGAAGTACGGATGATGACTGACAGCGTTACGGTATCGCGAACTCGTTAAATCCTCTTCTGTCTCCCCTTTGTAAGCGCACTGACCTTGTCTATTACTACGAATCCATATTTTTGTTGGCAACATTTGTGACACAACGTGCAAAATTCGTCGTACGACATGTCGGTATTCACATGATCGTTGTAAACGTGCTTCAAGTTGGTACCATCCTGCTTGAACAGGATTAGCAGATTCGCGTTGTCGCGTATCAGATGTTTAGGTATCCTCACGTACGTCTGACAGAGATAGAAGCAGTCGACGTTCGCGTGGCGACCCATCGAAAAGTACTCTCGCACCGCGTTCTGTTTGTCACATGCCACGTCGTCGAAGATAAAGATAGAATTCGGTAGCGCCTCGTTCGGTGGAACGACATCGCTGTTGGAGGACGTAAAGTAGCCGATTTTGTCGATGGACATCAACAAATTTTCAAATTACCGATACTTTTGCTGTTGCAGCGATTTTGAGTAGACATACACGTTTTCGAAACGTACGCCGTTGGGGCTCTCGAGCAAGCTTATCAACACGTTCGTCTTGCCGCATTTTGACGGACCGCAGACGATCGCGCGTATAGTATTCGGCAGCATTTGACCGTGCTTGCGCTTATGCGCTTCGTCCCGCATCGTTTGCAATTTCGAGTTACAATTCATGACGCATATCGTCAGTGGAGACTGCACAAATTTCATACTCGCACTATAAACTACCCGCAGTCTCGAACGCCTATTTATAGGCGCGCGAATCCGCGAATCGGGCAGTAGCAAAATGTATTTAGCGCTGTATCATCGTTCTTCCGACATTCGAGAATTGAACGCTGAGCAGTTGCAGTATATACCGACGATCGTACTGTTACAAGTGTGCGGCGATTATATCGATCACGTGTGGGACAAGCTTCCGGAACACGTAAAGACGGATTCGGAGGTTCAACGATACCGTCGGTATCTGAAGCACTACAATTTGTCGAGTCAGCAAACGTACATCGACGGTCCGCCGCCTCTGATAAAGAATTGCGGCGAATGTCAGCGAAGAGCTTGTTAAATCGGGCGATAAACGCGCTTCCTTTCGAGTTACATATTCCAGGCTACCAGTTTTGCAGCCCCGGCACTCGACTGAAGAAACGATTAGCCAGAGGTGACGCGGGTGTAAATCCACTGGACGCGACGTGTCGCGAGCATGACATCGCGTATTCTCGGATCAACGATCTCATCGATAGACAAGCGGCGGACGAGGTACTCGCCGAGGAGGCGCGAAAACGCGTTACCGCGAGAGATTCGGTTCTGGGTGAGAGAGCCGTCGCTGCAGCTATCTGGGCAGCGATGAAAGACAAGACCAAGATCGGCATGGGCATGAAGAAGAAGACGACGAAGTGGCAAAAAAAAAGAAGACGAAAAAACGGATTCTTCCGACCGCGAAACGAGGCGGCATGTTGCCGATTCTGCCAATGTTGGGCGCCCTCCGATCTCTGATCGGCGAAGCGGCCGACGTGGCGAAAGCGGTAAACGACAGCAAAGCCGCGCGGCGTCAGCTCGAGGAGCTGCAACGTCACGATCACGCGATGGAACAGGGACGCGGACTGTATCTCGCTCCGTACAGATACGGACGCGGGCTGTATCTCGGTCCATACAAACGCGGACAGGGTATGAAAAGAAAAAAAAAACGCCGAAGAAACGATAAAAATGCCCACGGGCGCAACCACCAACGTGCAACTGCTACAACTTGCAAAACGTATGCGCGTACCGTACTTTAGAGGAGTTCTCATGCGTAACGCGTTACCGATGAGCGGCGCACGCCGAAACGAAAGCGGTATCGTGAATCTGGACGATGCGACAGGCCCCGGTACTCACTAGGTAGCGTACGCGAAGGGGAGCGTTCTCGCGGCAAGCTATTTTCCCGCGATAGACTTGAGCGACGACGACTACGAGATCGGTCTGACGATTTTCGAGACCTATCACACGATCGTGAACGATTCGAATAATAAATTTTATTTTGGAAACGATGACGAGGAAATTACGATTTCCAAGGGTTCGTACGAACTACAAACCATAAACGAATTTCTGAAACGCGCGATCTCGCGGAAACGTCCGCAAAGCGACATGCTCGAGATCGTTGACTTGGCGCGTGGAGACGTACCTCCCGATGACAACGACGACGACTTGCATGGAGAGTATCCGATAGCGCTCCGCGCAAACTACAACACGATGAAGTGCAATATTATATGCGCCTTCAGAGTAAACTTTGACAAACCAAACAGCATCGGATCGCTGCTGGGATTCTCATCGAAGCGTGTATTACGACCGCGAAAATGGCACGAGTCGGACGCGTCGGTCAACATAATGAACGTAAACGTTATCCGCGTAGAGTGTAACGTAACCACCGGCGCGTACAGCAACGGTAACAGCGCGCACACGATACACGAATTTTCGCCGCAAGTGCCACCGGGATATAAGATATCGGAAAGGCCGACACAGATCATTTATCTTCCGATCATCGCACGGAGCATTACGAATCTAACGATACGCATCGTCGATCAAAACGGGCGGTTGCTCGATTTTCGCGGAGAAGAGATCACCGTCAGATTGCACGTGCGACGGCGACAGCGATAACGCGCGCGCGTGAGATGCTCGTGTTGAACCAGCAGACAGATAACGTATCCTTCGCGCCGCTCGACAGTACTCGCTCATCCGAACGCATCGAAAAGAGGAACAAGAGGCTCAGTGCATCGAACGTTGAGTTTTTAAAATCTCTGGGATTCGCGGTGCGCAACTTTTGAAAAAGATGACCGACATTCTAAACGTCAAGGACGAGCCAGTCTTCGACGATCGCATCGTCAAGATCGAGACTCACACGTACAACCCGTTCGCCAACACGACGTTTGGACACAGCGATGAGATACGAATACCAATACAACAACAAGATCTGTACACGCTGCCGTATGAAAGTTTTCTGTACATCGAAGGAAAATTGGCAAAGACCAAAGTGGTACCGAACGCCGACGTGGCACTGGGAAATAATTGCGTCGCTTTCATGTTCGATGAGATTCGCTACGAACTCAACGGCGTGGAGATTGATCGCAACAGAAACGTGGGCGTAACTAGCACGCTCAAAAACTACGTGACGGTGTCATCCGACAAAAGCGTGATTCTGCGAAACGCTGGCTGGGATCCACAGACTGAGGCTGATGGATACTTTAATTTCTGCGTACCGCTCAACGTGCTACTGGGATTCTGCGAGGATTACAGACGCGTGGTGATCAACGCTCGTCACGAGTTGATTCTGATACGAGCGCGCAACGACGTGAATTGTCTGTTGGGAAATTGGACGGTGGAGCCGAAGCTTGAACTGTTCAAGATTCAATGGCGAATGCCGCACGTGGTATTGAGCGAGATAAATAAGCTGTCGATGCTACGGGCCTTGGAGAGTGGACGATACCTGAGCATGCCTTTTCGCTCGTGGGATCTGTACGAGTACCCGCTTTTACCGAATACGACGAAGCATTCCTGGGCTATGAAAACTGCGACTCAGCTGGAAAAACCGCGATACGTCATCTTTGCTCTGCAAACGGATCGAAAGAAGATGTCCGAGGATACGAGCCGATTCGACGACTGTAAATTGACCAACGTGAAACTCTACCTGAACTCGGAATGTTATCCGTACGACGACTTGAATCTGGATTTCACTAAAAACAAATGGGCGATTCTGTACGACATGTACGCGCGTTTCTGCAAGGGTTACTACGGATACGAGTATCTCGAACCGAATCTCACCGTTACGACTTTTTTAACGAACGGTCCGTTCGTAATCATCGATTGCTCTCGACAGAACGAATCGGTCAAGAGCGCGACCGTGGACGTGCGAATGGAATTTGAGTTCAAGGAGAACGTACCCGCGAATACTACCGCGTACTGTCTCATCATACACGATCGCGTGGTCGAGTATAACCCGCTGACCAACGTTGTGCGCAAAATCATCTAAGCGCGCGATATAAAAATCTACGATACGTCGACATCGTTCGCAGTCTTCTTCATCTCGATGACATGCGTGTACCGACGTTCGTGGATCTGCAAGGTTTCATCGTCAACGAGAGATTCATCGTGAAGGAAGTGGCGATACTGAAACACGGGACCGTACTCACGCACTACATTTTTACGAATCCCGTACCATGGAGATTTTTGACAAGATCCGACAGGTCTTGCGCTTCCTGGTTGATTGCCTATCACCATGGATTGCGATGGACGGACGGGACGACCTCGTACAGCGAGGCGAAACGCCTGATTACGAGTGCTGTACGCGAGGAGGAGGATGCTGTGGTGTACGTCAAGGGACGTGAGAAACGAACGTGGTTGCGAGACTTGCTTCTGGACGAACGCGTGCACATCGAGACCCTGGATGCAGTTTACGAAGACATAAAATCTTTAACCGATATAGATGCCACTGATACTATGCGATGTGGATATCACGCTAACAATTGCGCTTTACAAAATGTATTCAAAATATGTAATTGGTGGTTGCAAAGAAATTTTTTAAAATAAAAATTATGTAACGTATTTATCGTGTATTCTCTCTTTTCCTATACATGTACTTAGTATGTAAGTATGTATGTATGTATAAACGCGTAGACAGTATATATATAGACAGTGCGTAAAGCTCTTTCATTCAATCGTAATCTTACGAGCGTTACGACATGGACCGAGTAAACGATTATCTGCATCGAAAGTGGACCAAGCTCAAGGGATACCGTCGGTTAGACGACGATCGCGAGCCGCTGTGCCCACCGAGCCCCCCACCATCGAAGAAAAATCAAAGATATTGGGAATCGTCTCCGTCGAAGGATACATCTTCAAATCAAAAATATTATTGGGAGTTGCCTCAAGAAAATACGTGGAAAAATACATCTTCGACGAAAAGCCAAAGATATTGTAATTGGCCTACAGAAAATACGTCGACAGATACGACTTATGAGCCGACGTCTTCATCATCGTCAAAAAATAAATACGAACGTCCCCGAATTCCCCCACCTCCCCCGCCATTGAAGAAAAAAGCAGGAAACAACACGTCATCAAAAGATAATACATCATAAAAATATAAACAATAATGTATGTAGATGAATTCGCGGTAGAAAGAATACATAGAAAGTTGCGATAAAAAACTTGTCGCGACAGGTTTTCGGAAAGAGAATTTACCCCCTCTCTCTTCGATTCACCCCCCTCTCTTTAATTACAGAAGTATTACAATCAATTTAATACACCGATGTGATCAGTCTTGCTATATTCGCTTGCACGAACGGATCAAAAAAAAAAAAAATGTTTCGCTTTAACTCCGCCACAGAGAGCGAACCGAAGAAGGAACCCGACGCGTAAGTTTTAATATTCTATATAGAAAAAAACACTTTTCTTCCTATAACATTATGCACGTAATTGCGTTATTACAGGATAAAGCGTCGCGCGGTGCGCATACTGAGTCGACGATACGACCTGACCGCTACTGGCTACAAGTTTTTGGAAATTGCAATCAACGTTGATCCACCGAGTTACGTGGAGATCGTTCTGGGAGACCATCGCGGACGCGAACTTTCGTTGTCTCTCGAAACGTGGAAAGGTCTCTACGAGCAGCGATGGAATATCTACAAATTGCTGCGGAACGAGTACAAGGACAATTTTATAAACGTTGGACCGCTAACGATCAGAATCTGCACGCATAACGACGTTACGCTCGTACGACTCGAATCTTCGACCGTACACATGACGATGATCGAATCGACGCTGCGCCGAATGTTCGATCTCGACGGATGCATCGACGTAACGTTCGAACGATTAGCCCGACTCGTTGATACGGTCGATGTCAAGTATACGCGCTTCTCCAACGTCGCGAACGCTATACGCGAGAGCGATATCTTCGACAAACGACAGCTCGTCGATTGCGAGCTCTTGGCTTTAGTTTTTAATACGTAAGAAAAAATTACAGTATAAAAAAATTACTATGTAAAGAAAAAATATACGAATAAATATTCATTGTCTCCATTATTTTATGCGTACTTTCTTTACTCTCCTACGAATGTGTGCTCGATGAATCCTATGCCTCTACGCGCTATCGCTCTGTTTACAAAAACAGCTCTACTTACAGCAGAGCCTCTTCAAGTGTCGGATCATTTTTCACCAAATTAATTGCCTATGGGCCAATCATAGGCTTGGCCCTAGCGAAGAATGCTTTTCAGCGTCAGTATTCCTTTGTCTCACATACAGTTCAGATCCGTTTCTCCATAGTTCATTTTTTAGTTCATTTTTTAGTTCATTGTCATTTGAATATTTTTGTTTTAATATTTTCATACGGTTTTACAATTTGGAGACGGTGCCATTAATTAAATTTTTCTTACTAAGTGCGTGTGTGAGTGCGCGCTGTGAAAAAGAAACATGCGTCTACTAGAGCCGCTTAAAAAACAACTTTTTGGGGAGGAAGAGGAGGATTTTACTCCTCAAGAGGAGGAGGTGATAGAGGCAGAGGTGGAGGTGGAGAACGAGGAGGAAGAGGAGGATAACGACACCAACGACGGGGAGGAGAACGAGGAGGAAGAGGAGGATAACGACACCAACGACGGGGAGGAGAACGTCGACGAGAACATCGAAGGGGAGAATAACGAGGAGGATGATCCTCCCCCCTTCCCGATTAATTTGGATGAGGTCGACCCCGACGACCTCATCCGCTTTGGAATGCATTTAATGCATGTTGACGACAGGGCTGAGCTATTCTACCTCCTCGTCAACCTGTATGAGGAGGAGTTGGCGGCTGAATTGGAGGAGGTTGATTGAATCAACCGGGGGAGTGTGCCGCAGTAAGTAAAAAAAATTATTTATCTACTTCTTCTTCCTTCACCTCCCTGTCTCATTTGAACGCGATTATTTATGTTTTCTTTCGTTCGCTTTTTTGCAATAGACATCCTGGCGGCGGTGGCGGCGGCGCGGGCGACAGCGACGGCGGCGACAGCGGCGGCGGCGGCGG